TGTTTTTCGGAGACTTGTTTTATTATAGTAAATGTTTTAAAATTTTTTAAAAAGTGTTGTGTCCCAATGATCTGTTTGAAGGCCATACCCCACATCGACGTGGGGCCTCAGGGGAGCAGAAATGTTACATTTGTTGCTGAACCAGTGTAGACAGTAATTGTATTAGATCTGTCTGCAGGATGGGCCGGGGCGAGGAGTGGGACAGGGCTGTATACACCCGACTTATCATTTCACGTAACTCGCCGTGAATAAACTTTGACGTCTATCCATTTCCAAGTACATCCCGACGTTTTCTAACGATTACCTGTCCAAGATAATCACCGGTACGAACGATCACTTTCCACTCATTCCTCCTAATAAATAAAACAAGAGTACATTTTTTTTACACAGGCATAGTGATTCAGTCCACGACTCCACTTGTTTAAAGTTTAAGAAGAGAACAACTTTCCCTCACGACAATGTGTGGCGTCTTTGACAGTTTCTGCTTTACAATGTAGTTATTTCGTCGGAGTACTAACATCTGCGTCTGCGTTGTATGTTATTTTCGTCAGGCTCTACGCTATTGCGCGTGAAAGACGTGGGTTCAGTTCCCGAATAGGAAAGTTATTTAATCAGCGCCAAGCTTTCGCCTCAGGGTAACAAGAGCTGTGGCTGTGTTATAATGTGTAACGGCCAGGCTTTTCGCCAACATGTGAAGAATTAGAACATGATTCTAGAGGAGGGATATTATACATGTATCTGTGTTGTAATGACTAAAGGCTCTTCGTCGTTGCTCGACGAAAAAAGACATGGGTTCGATTCCCGAGCGGGGTAGGTACAATTACATCCTATCAATTCCAATCCTAGCTTCTGTTTCAACCGGGTAACACCTGCGAATGAATTATGTGAAATGACCATTTTATGATATATTACAAATGAATATCTGTCGCGACGCCGTGGAATCGGGTGTTCGTCAATTTTTGAGTGTGTGGAGTGATTGGTATGATCTGAAAGCTTAGCTCTATTCGTTTGCCTTGCTTTCTATTTAAAAAATACCCATCTATCTTGAATAGAAATAGAAGTCGAGATGTTTGCGAGTGAAAGAGGTTGTTATAGCTTGATTTCAGAGGGAACATTAACGAGAAAATGGCCTCCAAAATTTGGTAACTTCTGTAGCTTTTGAATCCTTGAACTTGAAAGCTGAAAATGTACTCATTTTGTGCCCTCTGGAACAATAACAACAGCAGTATGGATCATACGTTATTTAA